TTCCCAAGCCTGCCCCTCCCCACTATTTTTTTCCAATGACAAACGGCAGCTTCCTCTGTGCATTTAGTTATTAAAACCACAGAACTTGGACTCATCCTTTACTTTTCTCTTCCCATAACTGCCATGTCCAGTTCACCTGCACATTCTTTTGAGCCTCTCTTCAAATTATATTTCCAGTCTGAGCGCTTTTCTTTACCTTGTGCTTCCTCCAAGACCCATCATCCCTCAGTGAACTATTGCTGTGTCTTATCATGATCCCCCTGCCTCCATCCTTGTCCCTCTGTAACACCCAAGGTGAACCTTTTAAAATGTCATTTTTCTTTTCACAACTTTCCATAGGCATAATATCATCTTTCTCACTTTAATGATATATCCCATCCTTAAAAAGCCATTTAAGATTTGCCCCTCTACCACTAGTACTCGCACACACCCTTGCCCTGGTTTACTTTCCTGTCCCTCTGACCCCTTGCCCTGGTTTACTTGGCTGTCCCTCCACACTTCCAGGCATATTCTGTCCTCAGAGTATGCTCTTCCCCATATGCTCATGGAGCTTGTCCTTAGCTCAGATTGCTGTCCATAACTCACATTGCAGCCTACGCAGCCTTCTCTGAACACTGTATTCAAAATAACACCTCATGGACCTTTAGATGTGTATCTCCTCATAGCATTGTCACCACCTGACACATTCTGTATTTGTTTCTTATATCCCTGTTGGTGGAGACTCCATGAAACTAGGTCTTTTTCTGTGGGTCCAAATCTTTTTCCCCAGAGGCCCAAGTTGTGAGTAGTTCAGAGTTCAGAGTTTTGCTATATTGGATCATTCTGCTGGATTCTGCTCAGTTTTTAATTTCATGTACCCTTAGAGCAGAAGTTCATTAATTGCTGGGTATAGCATCACTAGGGAGCTTGCTTAAAATGTAGATGCCCTGACCCTCACTTTGGAGGTAACAAATTCAGTAGAATCGGAGTGGAATCTGGTAATTTTGATGCCAGGTATCCCTAGCCACACTTTACCAAGTACTATCACATTGTACCAGATTATATTTGTTTCTTGGTTGCTCTCCCTCACTGAGTGTTGCTTTATGTATAGAAGCAGTGTTTGAATCACCTGGGAACCTAAATATAGATCTCCTAGCCCTACCCCAGATCTTGTGAATTAGAACTTCCAGGGGTGGATCTTGGAAATCTGTATTTTTAAAAAACTCCTGCAGTGTCTCAGAGGTATCTCATCTTCCCACTAGTCTTTAGGAATCCTGACTGGTTTTAGAGACTCCATGAAGCATAAGGAGGTTGTGAACTCAAGTGCAGGTAGTTTTTGTTTTATTTTGGTTTTACTGTTATTTTAGGCTAGATTTTTGCTCCATCCTCCATTAATGTAACAGGTTCTATTCATAACTGGTGAATTCAGTCAGTCACTATGGAATGAGAACTCCTAGGTTTATCCCCAGTTTTAACGTGCTTTTGTGCCTTGAATGTTGACCATCATTTCCAGCTACATTTCAAACCAGCTCATTCTCTGAATAAAAGGCCAGAAGTGTGTCTTAAGTTTCCCAGCTCATTCTGTTGGGGACTCGCTTTGTAATCCTTTTTGTCCAGGAATTTAAATGTTTCCCTGGTCAGACCCTACAGCATGGGGGTGCTATTAAAGCCAGATTTAAAATTAGGTAGTCAGTGTAGTTAGGTAAATCGGGTCTAATATCATATCCAGTGAAATCTAAAATGGAGGCCATGCTGATAATGATTCTGGAAATGCAGGACAACTCATGGAATGTTAATGAAGTCCCATAAAAGCCCTAGGCCAAAGTCCACCCCAAAGAAATGTTAATGGAACCCAGGAAACAGCCCCCAACAGATTTGGAGATAGCCCATCCCAAAGAAGTGATAATGAAGTCCTTCCTGCCCAGATTACTTGTTTGGCCCACCTGTGTCCCAACCCTTCCCCCTTTCATTCCATCACCAAAACTGTAAAAAGGGGAACACATTCGCCCTTCAATGGATTCCACCTCTTAGGTCCCCTTCTTCCTCCAGGAGAAGTCTTTTCTGCTGTCCTTTAATAAACTTCTAATTTCTACTCTGTCTTTGCCTCGGCGTGCTTCTCTGGTGTTATTCTTTAACATTGGGGAAGCAAGGACTCGTCACTGGCCAACAGTGGTAACACTATCACTCATCATCATAATCTCACACCTAACTCAGCCTTCCCCTTGGATCTGTGCTGCGGCACATATGCTTCAATACATGTGCTTCAACTGACTTTAACCTTGAGGAGCATTCAGTGGTCTCTAAGAGCATCCTCAGGGATGAAGAAAAGGCCTGGCCCCTTGCTCTGAGGCCTGCCTGGTATGCTCAAGTTGCTGAGGAAGGGTATCTTTCTGGGGCCAGTGGCCTTGTCCTACTTCTGTTTTGACACTCTTTGCAGATAGAAAGTTTTAAATTTGAAATCTTCAAAGTGTTACAGAAATTAAAATGAGGGTAGGATAGAGGTTGTGCGGGTGACTAGGAATGGCATATACCAAGGAATGATATTTGTGGAACTTGATTTGTTGGCCTAGACTAAGAGGAGTAGCTTCCCGGTTGTAAAGAATCATTTATGAAGGCCCCAAGAGATCCCCTTGGTTAATATGTTTTTTAAATACCTGAGCTTCCATGGGGTGTTCACTCTGGACTTTGGGTAGCTATCTTTAAAAATGTTGGGTTTGCCTGTATTTCTTTCAGAAGATGATACGATCATTATTCACACAGAATCTGAAAGTAGTGCTGTCATACATGGAAGCCCTGGAGGCTCTTGCAACCTTCTCAGCAAGCACTATAGATTTGCACCTTAGAGTTTGCCTCTGGATAAGCCTTGACTTCATTTTGATGCCAGATGTGAGAAGCATTAATAATCAGGATGAATCCCTTTGGGAAATTCTGTTCCCAGGTGATAGCTGCTTCCTTAGGAATATTGCGGGGTGGGGAGCAGAGGAGTGAATTGACCCTAGAAATGTAAGGATAAGAGATTTCTAATGAGGTCTGACAGTTCAAGGGCTGAATAAGGAGGCTAATCTTTTTTTTTTTCCTGCCCACCCAGTCTTCACACAAATGTAAACATGCCTCCTTCAACAAATTGGCAAATGTGGTTTTAATTTATAAGCAAAAGACCTGCCTTGCCTTTCTCTTCCTACTCTTTTTTTCTTTTCTAAACTAAGTCACGGGTTTTGCACTTTTTAAACTGGTCTGTCACCTTTTCTGTTGTTCATTTTCTTCCAAGAACATTTTCCCCCATTATTGTCAGAGGAATTTGGGATGAGAGCCGACTGCTGTTTCTTAAAGAAGTTTTTGAAGTTACAGAGGAAATACATGGTGCTCTTTCAACTGAATTTTTGAAACAAATAAGTAAAGACAGTGATTGAATCAAGTGGGAGACTTGAAGAACGCGTCCCTATCTAGGCACCTACTTCTAGGCACCTACTTCATGTGGTCTGCGCAGAATCCATTGTTGTTATTTATGACCTTGTCTGCCTTCCATTGTGGACTTCTTCCAGCCTTGGGGAATTTACATCATTCCTAATAGCAAAAGGCTTTCTGGTTCCCACAGAGTTGTTCAAAGCCTGACTCATGCTCCTTATGTTAATTGTTCAGCTCTGAAAATACAGCACTTACAGGGTGTGGTTATAAGGGGGAAATCTACTGTACTTATAGGGCATGTTTAGAAGTGTTTCACACATAAATCTCTATTGCTCCCAATCTCTTGTCAAAGTTAAAGTGTCTCTCTAGCTCCCTCCCCCCACCAACTCTGATTTAACTTTTAATTCCCCCCACACACACTCTTTATCAACTATTAAATTTAGGGAACAGAAAACCAAAAAGGAAATGCATCAAAATGCAGTATAATCCAATAAAGCCTGTAATACTCTGTTCACTAACTATTAAAACTAGATATGACTGAGTGACATCTGCCTGGGCCTAAAGTCATCAGCACTTTTGACAAGTAAATGTTTCTGGTAACTCAGTGGTATGGACAGTGACTGGGTAAAGCCCATCACATCCACTTGGAGAATACCCAGGCTTAATACTAATGGCTGCCTTCTCCCAGGATCCCTGGGCTGTCACTGCTAATTCCCATGTAAGCCTAAATAAAGCAAAGACTTTTTGATAATCAACTAAAACAATTCTTTGTGGAAGGAACATTTTTCTGGAATTTTCATGGGGAAGAATACTTAGTGTCCCAGAAAAAGAGACATTAACACCTTGTCTGGCTTATCTACTTGCATACAAAGGTCAGTGTTGGCAAAAGTTGAGAAACTTTTACAATTGTGTCCTTACAATGTTTCCATTGGTATGTGAAATCATAGGCTGATAATCTCTTCATTATAAAATAAAAAAAAATAAAGACTACAATAGTAGTTAGAATAAGAGGGAAATTCCTGGGTTTCTTAGTAGCTAAGAATGACAAACTCTAGTTTTGAAGCTACCAATATTAAAAAGCTCAACTCTTGAAATAGTCTTGAGGGTTACAAAGGAAATAGGTAATATTTCTATTTTTTTATTAGAGCATTACACTTATACACAATATTTATATTTCTGCAAATGGAGAAAATGTGGGGAATTCTCAGAATTACCAGGGTACTGCACACCGTACCACCAAGTCTTCTCAAAAACTTGCTGCAGCCTGGCTCATTGATTCTGGGCTTTTGTCACAATTCGGACCAGAGAGAGATTAGATATTGGCCAAGAGTTACTGATGGCTTGTAATCAACATCCTTTACATGACAGTTTTCTGTGTTTGTGGTACATATTAGTGCATGAAATGTGTAGACTGGGAGTCCAAAAGAAGTTGTAATTTACCAGAAAGTCCTAGATAAAAAAAAAAGAAAAAAAGTTAAAATAGCCTGTAACACTAAGCAGTTTCATTTAGTCTTTACAAAAATAAATCTGTTCATCTGGGCATTCAGAGTGTAACTGTTTTCTCTCATATTCAGCTAATAGATTTCTGGTTGAACCTTTGTTATCTTTTGGAATAGACAGAAAGAGCTCTCCACGGAGTGTCTGATTATTTTGCTGAGTGTGCTGAGAGTCTACTTCCTCCCAGTGCAAAGCTCAAGAGAAATGCTCTGAAACAAATGTAGGTCCAGCATGTTTCATTTTTCTTATTTGTGACTGCCTGTATGGATGGATGGATAATGTGAAATATGGAATTAAACAAGAAGGCATGGAGTGTGGAGACCAGAGCTTGGCTGGCACTGATCTTGCCCTGGGTCTCACACTTGCCCTTCCCACCCTCTTGACACTATTTTCTTTGCTCTCTGGACAGTGGGGGTAGAGTCCTTGCTTCATAAGTGTGTTGCAAGGAGTAATTAATTGCAAGCTCTTTGAAGATGAAAAGCACCTGCTGGTGGTGTGTTTCATATAACTTTCAGGGTGACTACAGACAGTCCTTAAAAAATACATTTCTTTTCTAAGATGCTTGTTCTAACTTTAATATAATGATAGTAATCCTTGTTATTATATGTTATTATATATATGAAATACATATATATGTATATATGTTTGTATATACACACAAACACACACATACATGATTCCACCCTAAAGCTTAGTCAGAATACATATCTGAGCTCCAGTGTTTTGACTTTCATTGTTAAGGAAATTTCTTGCCACTCACAGATTTCTTGCCATACTTCTTGCTAAAGATAATAAGGTCTTTAGTCTCTAAATTTTCCTCACACAGTTTCTGTCCTGCCCCTCAAATTTTTACAGTCAGAATGAAGTTTACCTTGTCTACTGAGTATTCTGTAGAGAAAGGAGTTAGATTTGCATTCCCCTCTCATGCTGGCTGTCTGAAATTTTTTTTCAAGTGCTATTAACTGAGTCTGATTCTTGTATGGTTAATGAACAATCGTGACACCAACTAAATGGTAGTTATATTTGAATAATACCTTGAAATGGCCTGAGAATAATTTCAGAAAATTTTACTCACAAACTGAGTAAACTTTTTTTTCCTCACAAATTAAATTGTGTGTATGCATATTTGTTCATAGGTACACTTGCATAGCATAAGCTTTGGATATATTTGAGCATCAACTCCTAGAAAAAAAAAATCAATGCATCATACATAGGCAGTATTTACTCTTAATATCATTGAAATGAATACCTATTTGCCTTAGTTAAAGAGAACTCCATTGATGATACAGATCAAAAAGCATAACATAACCTAGTATAATGAAAAATGTAGAGATCATTGCTTAACACACTCTTAGGGATTTTTCTAGATTTCCTGGGGAGACAGGGAGAAGGCAGGTAGCACATACCACTTGTTGCGGGTGAGGGAATGTGAGGGAGGGGGAATTTGAAGAAAACTGTGCCATTATAGCTTTACACAGTGTAAAATCTTTGTTGTTGTTGTTGTTGTTGTTTTAGTGCGAAAAGAACAAAAGCAAAAAGTAACGTGAAGAGCAAATCACAGACCAGCAGAGACATTGTGGGAACATCTAGTGACTCAGTGATTGCGGAGGTAGCAAGGAGGAGGGATGATGGTCAGGCCTCATCAGAATCCACAGGACAAGCAAAGGATTACATAAAGGCAGCTGAGTGCCACCAGAGGCTTCCTGTTCAAAAGCTGGAAAATGTTAATCAGACCCAGCCAGAAGACACTAGCAGCCAGCAAAAACCTCATCCTGGGGAGCGGTCAAAGACAGGGCTTCTAAGCAGGAGCCCTGTCTATAGCTGTGAGTCAGCATCACCAGGTCCAAAGCAAAGTCCACGAGTAGCCAAAACACAACAGAAACGCAGGAACTGCGGCTCTGCGGAAGACTTCGACCACCACAAGAGAGTTTCTCTTGGAAGTGATCGATTAGTCCCAGGAGAAATAATACTGGAGAAAAGCACAGCTGTCAATGTTTTGCCAATTTTAGAGTTGTCAGATCCGGGGTTACTTTTGAAACAAGATTTGGCAAAAACCATGTCTAAGGAAGAGTTGCATGTTTTGGAAAATCTCCCCTCCAGACATCTTATAAAAAATAACCCAAGGCAGGCACAGCAAACGGGCTCAGCCACAAACACTGAAAGATCATCTGCAATTCAAGGCAGCCCAACCAAGAAAAGAAAGAAATTGCAAAGGATTGCAAAGTCATAGTTGAGGATAATAGTAGCCAAATATGTGACAAGAGCGCCAACATGTATAGATGCTGAGACTTAAAAGGAATTTGTTAGAAAGATTTTGTTTGTTTGTTTCTATCTTTATCACAATATTGGGGATTAAAACTAGGGTTTCGTACATGCCAGGAAAATCCTCTACCAATGAGCTGCATCCTCAGCCTTCCAAATAGCTGGGATTATGGGCATGTACCACCACGCCTGGCAAAATGATTATTTTAAATAAAACAGTACATATCCACATTGGGGTTTGCTTTCCAGCAGTCACCTTCAGGAGGCTATCTGTTTATTCTAATAATGCTCTCTTTTCATCATACTTTATAACTGTCTTCAGAAATTGTATTGATAAAGAGCCATCCACCTTGGTGGAGAGGAGACTATTTGTGCAAGGACTGCATGAAGAAACCAGTCACATGTTCCTCCTTGACATTACCATGCAGACCTCATGATGGGACACATGAAGACAGTGCCTCGTGCTATAGTTAAGTTCTAGGGGTATAGTGGATCCTCCTGCTCCTCAGCTTCAGAAGGGGGCAGTGAAAGAAAAAGCCAGTGGTTCTAAACCACTGGGACCAGCATCATTGGAAACATGAATTAGAAATGTGGGTGTCAAGCCCCACCCCAGACCTATAGAATGAGAAGCTCTTGGTGACTCTAAAATATGCCGAAGCCTGAGAACCACTGGACTAATTGAAGTCTCCTTCATGTTTATTTCCTCCAGCCTGGCTCCCATGGCCTCCAGCTCATCAGCTGGGGCCACGTGTGGACATGTACACCCTCATATTCCCTCAAACTTATAAAACACCTGGGTTCAGTGTATGAGTCACTCTGTTCCCAGATTCTACAGTATGACAGCCACAGCATCGAGGGAGCTGTTACTTATGCTTATAATTGCCGGAAGTTTACGGATAATTTATCCCAGCATTAGAGGAAGAAATGGGAGAGACTTGCTCTTACTTGTAGCTCAGGCCTATCCCTGTCCCTGCCCTTTCTTCCACCTCTAAGATTTTGGTTAGGTTCAGGACAGACCAGAACCCAAGAGGAAGTCAGTGACCAATGTTTAGTTTCCCATTTGGAAGTCTTCACAGGCAATTTAAGTTTCTTCTCTGGTCTCACAACTTACTCTTAAAAAGATTAGAAGCTTGTGGTGGGGATTGTGGCTCACCTAGCATGTACGAGGCCCTGGGTTCGATCCTCAGCACCACATTAAAAAAATAAATAAATAAAATAAAGGTATTGTGTCAACTACAACTAAAAAAAAAAAATACTTATAAAAAAAAATAAGAAGCCTAAGAGGAGGTCAACCTCAGAAATATAAGAACCCTAAGAGGTCAACCTGGAAGTTTAATCTGGACCTTACTTGTTCAGTAGAAGATGGAACTTCAGGACTGTTCACCTTAAACACTTCAAGAATAAAATCACAGTTGTTTCTGAGAAACAGATTTCTGAAAGGTATTTGAAATACATTACCAAAAAGCACCTTATGAAGAAAAATCCTGCTGATAGCAGTGGCACACACCTATAATCCTAGTGACTCAGAGGCTGAGGCAGGAGGATCTCAAGTTCAAGGCCAGCCTCAGCAACTTAAGGAGGCCTTAAGCAACTTAATGTCTCAAAATTAAAAAATAAGAAGGACTGAGAATGTAATTGTGGTAAAGTGCCCCTGGATTCAAGCCCCAGTACAAAAAAAAAAAAAAAAATCTTTGTGATTGGCTTCATGTGATTATACCTGATAAGACTTATAAACTTAGTTACTTCCAGATTAGTCAAAGTCAAGATTAGACAAGATGATAGTCTGAGATCTAGGTGAAGCCTCTTGTTACAGGGCTTTGGTTCACAATGTTAAAGAATGAAGCATTCACTCAATTTCATCCAAAAGTAGGAAAGAAATCTTATTCAAAGACCACCAATGTATCTTTTTCTGCTTACTAACAGGTGTTCCTTTGAAGTAGCATCTCCCTTATATAATAAGGAAAATCAAGGGTATTCCCCAAAGTGTTAAAATTAGCAAAGAAAGCCCAATAAAATAAAAGAAAATAGCATGTGAGTGCTATTAATGCTCTCCAATTGCAAACTCTCTCTCCCAGTATCTGCTTTCCCCACTTGGATTATATTGAATGAAGCCCACCCAAAGGAAACCATATCTGAGAGCACCATTGTGGGTCATGAAGTTCAGTTATGGTCAGAAAGCCTGGCTGCTGGATGTAGATGCTGTTGCTTTGTTGCTCTGGTGTTACAACATTGACCTGGAAACCTGTCCTCTTCCTGCACCCCTAAGACCCAACATAGCCCTTCCCACTGTGTCCTTTCTTTTCCCACCTGTTTCCCTTGTCATAATAGATTCCAATCTAAGAATTCTAAATAGGTGAAAAGGGAGCCCAACAGAATGCTAATAACCTCAGTGGAGCTGACTCTGTTTATACAGTAGGGTTCGACTCTCAGAATGAAAACTGCCTAAGAAGGTATTTCATCAGTTAACCTGGGCTTGATGGTTAAGGCCAAACTTAAAATGATTTTCTTTCTAGAAAAGTCTTGGCTTGAGTGTTTATTATATTTGGAGAAAACACAATTCATGAGATCTAATAAGGAAAATAGCAACTTTGTGTTATAGATAGATGTGGTCTTTCTCAGACTTCACACACAATGGGTTCACAGCCCCAGCCCCTTTTATATTTTGAATCTTGCTAAGTTACTGAGGCTGGCCTCTTACTTGTGATCCTCCTACCTCAGCCTCTGGAGTCACTGGGATTATGGGCATGGGCCACCACACCTGCCTTAAATAACATTTTAATAGGTGTATTTTTTTTCCCCTTTAACATTCACAAGCAAGGAAGGTCTGGCAAGGCAAAGAGAAATATGCATATACTATCTAGACAAATATGCATATAATGTGTCAAATACAAAGGAGCAAACATTTATGGAGAATGGAGTGTGTGCAGCAATTTTTTAGTTCCCTTTTTTTAAATATTCAAGGAGTGTGGAAAGTATTGCATTTTTTAAAAAAGGCTTTGGGGCTGGGAATATAGCTCAATGGTAGAGGAAGCACTTTTCGTGTGCAAGGCGCAAGATTTGATCCATGGCATCACACACACACACTCAGAAAACCCCTCTTTATTTTGATTTATGGAGAATATGGCTTATCTCTGAATGAAATATCCCAAAATATATTCTCGGGACAACAATGGGATCACAGCATAATTGTTTTCTTTTTGCTATCATGTTTAGATTTTGGCATGGACTGTTGTGTATATTGATGGCCTTTGATTTCAGAAAGAGCTTGGCGAGGGCAGGCACATAGGGGAAGGAAATCTCTGCCCAGGAGAATGGCCTGGATTCAGTGTCCCCACTCCGAGTTTCCTTAAGCTCTTTGGCAGGCCCAACTGTAATATTTCCACAAAACTGTAGTGAGTGGCCCTCCCTTGAAGTAACCAGCCGCTTTCCTAAGAGCCAAAAATTCTCTCTTCAGCGTGCTATGACTTGAATATGGAAATCATCTTAATTTCTTCTTTTTTCTTATGAGGAAATTTCCATGCTTGGTTTGTCAAGACAAGAGAGTTCATTCCTTCATATTGAAACACTAATGAATTGAAACATGTTGAAGCAAGTAAAAAAATCAAAATTAAGCTGGTTTCTCTTAAATAGTTTAAAGCCTTCCTTAGTATAAAATAAATTAAGCATTGTAAAATGAAGTTAATTCAGGTAATTATTCAGTGCAGAAGTCTAACCATATATATCATTGGTATTGTAATTTCAGGGTATAATTAAATTATCTGAAATCTGCAGAACTCCCTCTAATTTGGTCTCTATATTTATTTAACAAGACAGGGAACAAATATATGTCAATATGCAGCATAACAGAGGGAACTTGAATGGCTGAAATTATCTTTAATTATCTAGAGTTACTCAGTACCAGTCCGGAATAAGTTTAATCTTGCAGCCTCATGTTACCATATTTCATATTAGCTTGTAAATGCTATTATAGCTCCTTATCAAAAATTTTGATAACTTAAGCAAAAATCAGTAAAACCATGCATTTGTCCTTTGAAGCATCTGATGGGGTGCCTGCAGGTGTGAATTTTATAGATCCCTAGAATAACTATTCAGTTGAGTTAGAAAGCCAAACACTGCCATAATCACCAGGTGAGCTCTTTTTTCCCTATCAGTTTTCTCATTTGTTTTATTCTAAACTGTTTAAATAGTTTGAATAGTTTTCTAGGTGATGAAACTATGTATGTAGTGAAAATGTACCTGTTTTATAAATAAAGATAAAAAATTGTCTTGAAAATTGTAACTTTTTCTTTTCTTTTTTCAAAAATAAGTGAATCCCCAAGGAATACACATCCAAAATACCCTTTTCTGAACATGTTGAAGTATGTCCTATTGGTAAGAAACATTTTCCTTCTAGAAACAGTTCTTAGGTTTTGAATGCTTTGTTTAAATAGTTCAAAGGAGCCATTTGAACCATTGGTCCTGAAGATTTAGGTATGGAAAACCTAGTGTGATACGATGGAATTAATTGACCCATAAGATTTGGGGGTGATCCTTACAGTGTTTATTTGTTCCTACTTCAGCTTCCCACTGGGAGCTAAGAAAGATCTCTTGGGGGGTGGGGGGTAAAGTTCATGACCTTAACTCCTTTCCAGAAAACGCCGACATTCCCCAAGTGGATTCATTTCCATTTTCTTAAGTGGATCTAGTCCTTATTCAGGACTGATAAAACCCTGGGCCAACTCTTTTCTACACTGCTTTTTATTTTAGTATCCCAGGCTTCTCTGGTGCTGTGCATGACTTCCAGAAGGATTTCAATATCAGTTGGAAGAATACACTTATATAGATGGGCCTGGAATGCTAAGAATGGCTACAAATGATGAAGCATAGTCCATTTCTCCTTAGCATTTTGGTAATAATGATCGCTCACCATGTGGCCTAATCCACAGGAATGATGCCCTGCTTGGGGTATGGAGCTTGGCTCAGGATCTGGCGACTGGATAATAGCATGGTGCTTACAAGCCACAAACCCTGTTTCCTACCTTAGCTGCCACTTTGCCATTAATTGGTTTTATATGTTTGGGAACAAGTCACTTAGCCTTTTAGGCCTCATATTGTTCATCTGTCAAAGTTATCTAATATTTTAAGTGCCACCCACGGCTATTAGAGAACTGAGGTAAACATACCACTCTGATGTATTAATTTCTCCATTTAAAAATGATTCTCTATCCTAGCTTCACATCAAAATCACCTAAGTAGCTTCTGGTTCAATCCAAATCCCTGAGTTTAGGCCCCGGCATTGGGATTTTTAAAAGCCCTCAAAGAACGATTCTCATGTGATTCCACAGTTATGAGCTGTCCTTTAGAAAGTGTGCAATGTGTGCATGTAAATACTGGCTGTTAAAAGAGACAGGTTTACTCAGAGCTGAGTGTGCATTGATAGAGGGGTTTTCTGCAATGTAACTATACCTACTTACTATATTTTAAAAGAAGAGCAGGAAAGGTTTGGGGGACAAGGTATCAGTTCATAGACAGACCCTTTAGTCATACAAAGAGTTGCATTTCATTTTCTTCCAAGGCTCCTCTGTATCTGCTCTAAGCATCTGAACATACCATCTTGTCTTGCCAACATTGAGAAATTGTTACCCTCATTCAGAAGGTGAGTTTTTAAAACACCTAAATAATTGTCTGAAATTTTTACATAAACCTCTGGGGTTTGCCTTTGATCCATGATCATTAATATCATTAATAGGCACTCTAGAAGTGCGTGTGAATCTCAAGTTAGTGTTTGGCAGGCCAGTGGAAGAATGAACGCTTTTAAAATAGTTTGGCTCAGAAAGCACATCTGAAATAACCCTGTGGGAAAATCAGGAGAATTTCTCATCCTCCAAAGGATTACCTAGGATGAGATACTGACCTTGTATTTTAAGTTCAGTTACATTTCTTAAAACCTCATTCATTACTCAGCCTAATTTATTTTAGGGGATGAAATAGGCTGTGAGAGGGGACTCTGCGATGATGTACAGTCCTTCGACTTGCTTTTTGTGGGCTGCACAGCTCCCAAAAGATTTTTATCATTCATATATATATATATATATCTATATATATATATATATATATAGATAGATAGATAGATAGATAGATAGATATAGATACAGATATACACACACACACTTTTAAAAAAGAAAAAAGACCAGCCTCTTCACGAGATTTACTACAGCTTCTCTCTGAAATGAGAGCCGAAGACTTCTTTTCAGGCTCTAAGCAATCAAAACCCCAGAAGGCTGAGGGTGTGCAGGGCGAGCAGAGTGCTGACCTCTGCCGGGGGAGAGGTCAGTTCAGCACACAAGACTCAAAGGGGAGGAAGAAAAAGCAACTCTGCAGCAGGGAGTTTGACTTGCTTTAAGGCAGAAGAGCTTTCATAAATGAGTTTCCAGTCTCCCACGCCCTTTTGCCTGATCTTCTATTAGAAGTCCTGCCTCTGCGCACACACGCACACACACACACACACACACACACACACACACACCACAGCTTCTATTTCCACTCCTTGCCTCACACACATTCCTCTCCTCTCTCCCTACCTGCCTCTGGAACTGAGGGTAGACTGGCAGACCCTGCTCCAGAGGAAGCAGGTGGAGGATTGACAGGGAATTTTTCTAGGCCCAGTGGCTCTTAAGCCTTTTCAGTTCCTCCTTCACATGCTTGGCTGGTGAGAAGAACACAGAAGGCTCTTTCCCAAACCTACTGTGGGTGCCTGGGAAGGGTCATACTGGCTCATCCATTCCTGTTGTCAGAGAGAGAAGGTGGGATGGTAAATCAGAGCGACCTCCAGCCAGGATGTGGGAGCCTGGGCTGGGCGTTTGGGATGTTTCCCAGGAGGAGGAGCCTGGAAAAGCCTTCCTGTAAGGATGCCAAAGGCTTGTGAAACAGCAGCATGGCTTTATTTGTATATTCTCCTTAAAATGCTGCCCTAGCCAGCCTTTTCCCAGTGCTGCTCTTCTCAGCGGGGTGACCATTTAGAAACAGTGGAGACCACACGGGCAGATCCCAGGGCATTTGGGTAAATGCTCTCAGGTGGCTGGCCAGAGAGAAGTGTCAATCTGAAAGCACTTCTGGAAACCAGTGCTATCTGCAGAGATGCAGGGGATCAGTACTGAAATTGGGGTTCTTGCTTTGAAGCTAAGAATCTCCAACTGGAGGAATGATTTAGATCTCACCTAAAATCTCTGTAAAGGCTCAAAGACAAGCAGACTCTCCATCCATCTCTGAGTTTTCTGGGGGCTGGTATATCAAATCTCATATTCTTCTGGACGTTGGTTGTAGAAAGGACTTTGGCTCTTGTTTTGCATGTTTGTCAGGTCTAATTTCAGGCCCAAATAATATTTTAATAAAGCTAGCTGAACTTGAGAGAAACCTTAACTTTCTGCCAGCTTCTTTTATGACGGCTTAGGCCAGCCGCCCACCACTTGACAGCAATCCTAGGAGAAAGGTAAATAAGAAAGAGAGTTGGGCTTGATATTCAGCCCCTTCTTGGTTCAGAAGCAATGGTCATTGCACAGTGAAGACAGCCAAGGAGGGAAATTCCTTGTAGGGAAAGGCTCCCATGGGAAATACTTTACAAAGTATTTTTGAAATGCCTAACCCACTGAAAACCTCATCAAGAAAACCAGAGTCAAGGGCTGGGGTTGTAATACATTGCTTGCCTAGCACTTGCATGAGGTGCTGAGTTCTGCCACAAAAAGACAAAAAAGAAAATACCAAAGTCAAACATCATCATGTTGTTTCATAAGAATAGAAAACTGGTTCAAGACTATGTTCTGAATTCCTGCAAAGCCAGACACCTGAGCTTACCTCATTTGGCACTAATTTTACATTATAGTGGCTGGGGGGTGGGGAGATAGAAAGAACAGTGTTCTCATTCTCATTATTTGCAGGCTATAGTCCCGCTATCTATACTGGCAGACCACACACTGTTGTGGAATTTAATTGGGCACCAAGTCCCCCCCCCTTCCGCCCCCAGTCCTTTAGTTCATTCTTGTCTTGAATGAGCTGTTTTTTTCTGCTACACTGGTAGCAAGTACTGAATTGATCAAGAAAAAAGCCGACAATTTGTATAGTCACAAGCAAATATAGCATCTACACGTGACATGGGCTGGTACAATTCCCTTTGTAGGAGGCCTGTATTGGTGTTCTATCACTGAACAACAAATTACCATAAACCTAATGGCTTAAAACACACACGTTTATTAACTCATGGTTTATGACATTTTTAGCTGGGTTCTCTGCTCCAGAATTCATAGGCTAAAATCAGGACGTCAACAAGGCTTCCTTCTCCTCTGCAGTCTCCAATAGAGAAAAATCTGCCCAAGCTTCCTTGTATTATTAGCAGAACTCAGTTTTGTACACTTATAGGACTAAATTGTCTTGCTGGCTCTAGGCCAGGGATTTCCTAGAAGCCATGCTCAGGTCCTTGCCACATGGACTCCATTTCATTCATGGAGAAAACTGCATTGCCTTGAATCTGTTTCACACCTTGAATCTTCTGATTTCTGAGACCAAACAAAACTCTGTTTTTGAAAACCTCCTTCGCTTAGTCACCTCCAACTGACTAAGCTGTATTTGAAGACCTATTGATTTGGGACTTGGGACTTATAAAACCCCTATACTGAGGTATCTGGATTAGTATTTGAATAACCAGGGGCCAGGAATCTTTACAGGGCCTTACTTAGTTATTGAGGCTAGTCTTGAACTTGAAATCCACCTGCTTCAGCTTCCCAAGCCACTGGGATTTCAAGTGTGCACTATTGTGCCTAGCAGAGGCCTAGTATAATGGTGAGAAAGTAGACTGTCATTGGAATCTAGAGACTTCCTTAATCTTTTAATGGACTCTTGTATCACAGGCTGCTTAGAGAAAACTAATAGCAATTTTCTTTCATCTTCTTGCATCCTTTTTCATGAATACTAACAGTGGCACATGTTTGTTTTTCACCACTACAGATAAGGAAACTGAGGCACAAAGAATTTTGGAAAATTTACCAGTAAGTAGCAGAGGCCCCAGAATCCAGGTCTGTCCAACCCCCAAAGCCCAGAAACTGTTGTCAAGCTGCAAATTTTTGGAGAAAATTCCAAAGTAGGAATTGGGAAGGAAGAGCTGTAATAGGAATCCAGGAGGTCTGGCATGACCCTGCCCACTGGGCATACAGTTTGGCTGTGCACACCAAAAAGATGAAAGAAACAGTCAAGCAACAGGTTAGGCCCACATGGAGGCAGAACACTGGAGGAAATGCACACAAC